GCTTGTGGGCGTGGGCGTTATGGCAGCCTGTTCATCCTGCAAGTTTGCAATGCTCGGGTGACAAAAGGGAAAAAGCAAATAATAAAGATGATAAATATTTTTCTTCTTTTCTTCTTCTTCTTCTTCTTCTTCTTCTCACTCTCTCTCTCTCTCTCTTCTCTACTCTCTCTCTTTCTCTCTCTCTCTCTCTCTCTCTCTCTCTCTCTCTCTCTCTCTCTCTCTCTCTCTCTCTCTCTCTCTCTCTCTCTCTTTTCTTTCTTATTCTCTTTCTCTCTGAAGAAGTTACAGGCGTCTCAACATTATTCTTTTGTGACCTACATGTATCATTCTTTTGTCAACATCTTTTGTTATCGAGTGTAGTCGAGAAAAATCTAAAACGGTGAAGCATATGTATGTATATATTGTATGCAAATACAAATAACGCGCACACACTTACCAACACACGCACAGACACACACACCACACACACACACACACACACACACACACACACACACACACGCAAACACACAAGTATATATATATATATATATATATATATATATATATATATATATATATATATATATATATATATATATATATATATATATATATATATATATATATATATATATATATATATATATATTCCTATCTTAATACAAGTAAATGTAATTGATACCCCGCGGCGTAACAAGTAAGCGTGAATGAGGACGAATCATTTTAATAGCAAGATTTATCCTTTTCGCCAAAGGGTGATGCCGAAGGTTGATATTTCCCGCTCATGTTGCGGCGTCCTCCCTTTGCAAGTGATTCCTGTAGGATTGCGTTCCCACCTTCCTCGGCAGACATTTATGAAACGTCAGCAGATGATTCAGAAACGGTGGTAGTCTTTAATGAATGTTCATTACGTAATTCACTGTCCTTTGGTAACGATTTACAAAAGCTAACGGTAATTCAGGGGCGTTGACAGTTCATGAAACCTAATGATTATTCAGGGACGTTTACACTAATCTACAAACGATAACATTAATTTAAAAATGCTATTAGTAATACAAAAACATTAACATTAATTCAAATGCAGTTCAGAAACGTTTAAGAAACGTTCATTGACAGTATTTCACAAACGTTTAACACTAATCCACAAACACTAACAGTAAGAAACTTTTATAGCAAATAAAAAAAACACTAACAGTATTTCAGAACGTTAACAGCAATTCAGAAACATTCAACATTAATTCACAAAAATCCATTCAAAAACGTTTAACAATTATTCACAAACGTGTATAACAATTCAGAAGCGGCATTCGACATATCAACTTTGAATTTTTAGATTTTTTTTTCCGGTCACTTAAAATCTCCTCAGTTTCCCGGTTTTAGAAATTACATTACGTAAGGCATATACAAAATTATATTACTTAACTTACTTATATTACTTATCGAATATATTCAAACACGAGGTATAATTGCGTCCATGACACTAGTAGCTAAATGGAGCCTTGGATTTCATACGTACACACTCACATACTTTCCAGTGTGCGTGTGTGTGATGTGTTTGTCTTTGAATGGTTGATTATATCTGTGTGTATGTGTGTGAGTGTGTGTGTGTGTGTGTGTGTGTGTGTGTGTGTGTGTGTGTGTGTGTGTGTGTGTGTGTGTGTGTGTGTGTGTGTGTGTGTGTGTGTGTGTGTGTTTGTGAAACAACTGAACAAGTAAAGACACAGTAACATAACGGTACAAACAAGAAACTACCGGAACAAACAACACACAACGAAACAACAAAAGGAAAAACAAAGAAAACAAACAAAACAAATCACGCAAAACAACGGAGTACAAATAACAAAGCTGGACTTACAGAATAAACACTACAAAAACACAATACAAACGCAAATTTTACAGAGATAGGACCGAAGAAATGTATCCTCTAATGTGACAACAAAGAAATGTGTCCTTTAGCCATACTGTTGTTATTATCACTTCTATTATTTCTACGTTTAATATCATTATTTTCATTATTATTTCATATTCATCATCGCTGTTATCATTATCATCATTAATATCTTTAGTATTATCCTTATTGATATTATTACTATTATTCTTATCATCATTACCGTCATTATTATAATTATTATTATTATTACTATTATTATCATTATTATTATCGTCATTATTACTATCATCATTATCATTATCATCATTATCATTACCATTGTCATTATCAACTATGCTTTAGAAAAGAATATATAGATTACAGCTCTTTGTTACTTCCAGTATAATTAAACGTTATCTTGATCGTATTATAAGTTCAGACAGGTAAGTAAAAAAAAAATAATTTATTATTATTTAGATAAATCAGTAAATTTCGAATTCAACAAATAATCATAGAACTGAAGATTACTCTGTATATCTTTTAAATCAAAATAGATTATTCATCTGTCATACATAGCGTCATCAAGTCATATTTGTCAGATTCAGTCGTCGAGTCAGCCGGTTATATATATATATTTATATATATATAAAGGTGCAGAATGTGCAATGCATTGTACAAAAGAAAGAAGGAAAGAAGGAAGGGGGAAAGGGAAGAGAGAGAAGGAGGGAGAGGGGGAAAGAGGGAGAAGGAGAATGGGTAGAAGAGAGAGAGAGAGAGAGAGAGAGAGAGAGAGAGAGAGAGAGAGAGAGAGAGAGAGAGAGAGAGAGAGAGAGAGAGAGAGAGAGAGAGAGAGAGAGAGAGAGAGAGAGAGAGAATGAGAAAGAGAAAATAAATAAAGAATGGAATACACCTTTTTGCTTTATCTAATTGTAACTTCGATTCGCGAATCTCATTGTATTTTACTCTATAGAATAAACTCATCTAGGCATTGAGTATATAAGGTGTGATTATATGACAAGGAATTACTCCATACTGCATTGAACTCAATAACCGTAATGCACTATTTGAATGACTTATAAAGTAGTATCACTTTTTTCGTATATGATAGTAATTTAATTCTACCAAGTAATAAACTTTCTTATATAAATCTATTTATGCAAATTAAAGTTCCTCCACACAGTGAACACGACGAGAAAGACAAATACACAGAACACAAAAGCACCAACAACCTTCTGTGTTTTTCGTGCGGAGAAAAAAATCCACGCATGCAACTAATGTCACGGTTGTTATATTTCGTCTCTTCTACGTGCAAATCTGTGGACAGGAAGAGGAGGTCTACACACTGGGGAAGGGTAGGAGGGAGAGGGGGAGGGAGAGGGGGAGAGAAAGAGGGAGAGGGAGAGGGGGAGAGAAAGAGGGAGAGGGAGAGGGGGAGAGAAAGAGGGAGAGGGAGAGGGAGAGAGAGAGAGAGAGAGAGAGAGAGAGAGAGAGAGAGAGAGAGAGAGAGAGAGAGAGAGAGAGAGAGAGAGAGAGAGAGATGATTAGAGGGAGAACAGTCGATCTGAAGGAAGTACGGCAGGACGCTTTGTCTCTGAAGGAACGCTAAAGACAGGGAACAGGTCAACACAGGGAACACGGCGTCACGGCTGCATGGAACTGTACAAGGCCGCCCTGAACGCTGGACGGAGGACGAGGACGAGGCCACGGGGAGGAGAGGCAGACAACGAGGACAACACAACGAACACGGAGGCTTCTGGACGAGGAGGACGGAGGACAAGAACGACTAGTTGTGAGGACGACTAAGGACGAGACGGGGAGGCGATCCCCACTCGTCGGAGGACGACGGGTAGGGTCGGCGGGGGTGCAGGGGGGGGGGGGGGGGGGTACGCACCTATCGTCACCCTCAGAGTGTCCCTCGGGACCGTAGGACGAATACCGGCGATTCGTTAGGGGCAGGTTGGCGAGGACCTCCACGAGGCCGGGCGGGAGGACGAGGGGGGGAGGGAAGGCCCCGGTGGCGGGGGCGGCGAAGGCCGTGAATCCCGTGGCCCCGGCGGTGAGGCCCGTCGGCAGGAAGGCGGCCGTGGGCGGGGGAGGGCCGGTGAGGCCGCCGGCGGCGGCGCCGAGGGCCACGGGAATAGCGACCGCCGGAGGGATCGCGATGGCGGCGACGACGGCCGCCAGCGCCAGGACCCCCGCCAGCCAGCCGATCCAGGTCAGGTCCAGCACCTACCGTGGACCGAATTTGGTCACTGCCCCGACCTAGGCCTACTAGGCTCCCGGAGGAAGGAAGGAGAGAGGAGAGGACGCCGAAGCGGCTGCCTCGCCGCCCGAGAGGCGCTTTGCGAGTGAGGGAAACGCGGCCGAGAAAGTCTCAAGCGCCGCCGGGTTCCTCCGCAGTGGAAATTAGGGGGATAGAAACCACACCAAAGACCATGATAGAGGAAAAGAAGAAGAAAAAGAAAAGATGAAGGAAGAATAAGAATATGTTTAGTCCATAACAGATAAACAGTAACTGTTATTCGTTTAAGTAGAGATCACAGATTTTTTTTTAAAGTTTGGTCATATGCCATGAGCTGTCACCGGATGTCATCGAACGTCACACGCAAAGTCAACAAGCCAGTCAGTCTTCGTCATTAACATAATCCCTTGCTCTCTGATACAACATTAACAGGATTCCACATTAACTTTGCATAGAATAACTTCGATCACCCCTGCTTGCTTGGCTCATGAGGAAAGGTGTTATTGTGGAAATGCCGAGGAGGTTAGAAGGAAATTTTTAATTAAGAATTTAATTAATCTGTGAAGAATGAGTAGGCGGCGCGGAAATTCTTAAGGAAAAGAAAAAAAAAGAAAGGTAACACCTGCATGCAAAAAGGTTATGATTTAAAGAATATTCAGGACAATCGTAGTGATTTAAAGAAGCTTTTTTAAGATTAGAGTGAAAATTTATAATTAAAATGATTTTTTTTTTATGGAAAAGCTGAAATATAAAAAGCACATTATCGGTGCAGAAAGTTTAATGTTTAATGATTATGTAATTAATCACTTGTTAGGGAGAATCAAATTTTATTTTTTTATGGCAAATTGAATGGCATGATTTATAGTGAAGTAAAAGCGTTTAAATTGAAGCGCAGTTTATCAAAGC